ACCTCTCAGATGTCTGCAGGTGAAACAGCAGATTTTCTATTTAAACTGTGGCTGAATTTTTCCTAAAAGTTTCATTTTCTTCTAATGAAGCCGTTCTGCTGATGGTCTATATAAATCCAGCCACATCTCCAGGTTTTCTAACATTATCCACTTTAAGAAAAAGTCCAGTTCAAAGAGGAGGAAAGCCTAAATGTTTTCCTCGAAAGAAAAGATGCCCTTCCTTTATTTTTACTGCTTCTTTTACACGACTAAAAGAGAAAAATAACTTCTTTTAGAATATTCTCAATACCAATCAGGAATGTTTGTCTCTAATACGTCTGTCTGCTTATTGGCATCAATGTTCTTCCATATTTACCCCGGTTAATAATGACTGCCTGATTTATAACATTTTTAGATTGTTTTTTTACACTCCACAGACTGATTTCGACCGTCATTGAATCAGTTCACTGCAAAATGTTTCAAACATCTTTGCAGATGATGACTTCAGCTAAAGGCTGAAATCTGAACACAACTTTCTGTAACTGATGTTTGGTTTGATGCCAAGAAAAGAACAAAACAAAAGCCCAACATGTGACCCAGACTAGAGACCCCCAAAAAATACACATTTTAATTAATTCACTCTTAATTTATTTATGAATTTAAAATATGAGTGATTCTTGTACATAAATGTATTTTTAAGATGACATTTATTCAATGTACCTTTAATTGGTGACCTCAGTGTTTTACAAGTTTAGGGTATATTCAACATTTGAATCAATATTTTATGTCCTCCATATAACTCAGGAATCCCATCTTCATGATTGTGAAAACAGGCCCCCATGGGGTCCGGGCCCCCACTTTGGGAACCCCTGTAATACAACATCTATCTCTGCTTCTGTCTTCTTGAACCCCAGTCGGCCTCAGCAGAAGGCCGCTCACACTGAGCCTGGTTCTGCTGGAGGTTTCTTCCTGTTAAAAGGGAGTTTTTCCTCTCCACTGTCGCTACAAGCATGCTCAGTGTGAGGGATTGCCTTTCAGTCAATGAGTCGATGCAATCAACTGGTTTTCCTTAGATAGAAAACATTGAATCAATCTGACTGGATGATCTGGTGAACTGTAAAGTTCCTTGAGATAAACTGAATTGAAATGAAGTCTCTTTTATTCTGAATATTTTGCAGCATCCAGGCTTCATTAGAACATGGCGTATTTGAACAGGGGTGTGTGGACCTCAGAGGGGCCGCCGTTCACCATTAGCGTCTATCAATCTTTATTTTCCCCTTAAACATTAACAATGTCTTATTAGGGAAGAAAAAAACAGAGGATGGGAAAAAAAATCTTATCAGTCTAATTTCTGTCTAATTTGGCTCTTGGAATATCATTTTGTCCAGTTAGAGGAATTGAGAATGATCATTTGCATCAGGGACGTTTCCTTATTAAATCAGCGCCGAGCTTCTGTTCGGCAGCTCACAGGAGAAGCACTTATTGGGTTAAAAGCTCATCTCGTATGGTTTATTTTAAATATACTCTATGCTTCACAGACACTCTGCTGTAAGAGAAAAGATATCAAATCATTGTCTTTCTTTCTTCCCTTCTCCGGTCGGGGTTATCTGTCTCTCTGCATGCTCTCTTTCTCTTTTCTTTGCTCCTCTTATTCTTTCTTTTTCCACTCCTCAGCAGTTCCACCTTCAATTTTCTTTTGTATGGCCCCCTATTCTTTTCTCTCCTGTATCAATATTCTATTGAGTTGGTGTTTGTGGCCCTTTATTTGAGAACTCTGCAGTAGGTCTGCAGATCACAGAGTCTTTTTCTGGATTGGTGCCCTCTAAATAATGATAAATTACTTGAGCAGTATGCCATTTGCTAATTATATCCATGATTTACTACACAGCCCGACTTAAATCATTCAAACCAGCCTTGCGTAACAATGCTTTTTTCCCCCCTCCTTTATGAAATGTTTTCCATGCGTATAATCTAAATATTTTATTGGCGTATACCCTAAATATATATAAAGAACGTGCATAGGAAACGCTGCGACCATCCGATTATTTATTTTTCCACCAATCTGCATGCTTTTACACACAGTTATTGTTATCCCTCTTACAGAAATTCCACTCTGGCAACTTTTTATATGTGTTTCAAAAAAAAAAGAGGGGGAAAAAAAATCAAGCTTAGCATTTTTTCCCTCTTTGTTCATTGTTTAATGAATCCAAATCTGGCTCAGACGCCAAGCCTATTATAATTGCTAGCAGGATGTGTTCTACTTCGACATAAGTATCATTCCTATGGAAGATCTACTTCAGGCAGAATAATGCTGGTGTTAAACCATCATCAGGAATATCCATGAATATGGATGTGAAGCATAAATAAACACATGTAGATGTTACAGAACAGACTCCCCCGTCTTTTACTGTAATATGAATCACTTTCATCTACTTCCTTTGTAGTGAATCATATTGTTCTTTATCATGGGGCTCTAAAGCAGACATGTGGTACGCATGTGCTGCCGCCCTTTACTGCTGCTACATAGCAGCTTAGCCTAGTTTGTACTCGGGCTCGGCTCGCTACAGCCGGGATGTTTGATGAAAATTGACCCAAACAAAGCCAGAAAACAGGGACGACACAAACACGGGCCGCGCTCTGATAAAACATATGCTCGCTCTGCTGAGAAGCCGTTCTGCCAAACCTCTACACTGCAAAAAATTGAAATCTAAATAAGTAATTTTTTTCTTGCAAAAAGTGCATTTTTTTCTTGAATTGAGGAGGTAAGTGAGGCACTTTGCCAATTGAACAGGACAAATTACATTTAAATTGAGAAAACACAGTTGCATTGTCTTGTTTCAACTGAATTTTATCTAATTATTTTGTTTTAAGAGTTAAAATACTAACCTCGTTGGCAAATTATCTTGTTTACCTACTCAAATTAAGGGTAAATACACTTAATTTAAGATATTTTTTGCTCATTTCCATTTAATTTTTTTACAGATAAATTCCACACACTGGAAAAACGATCCAGAAATACGTAGAAATTTCTTAAAATAAGTGTATTTACCCTTATTTTTGAGATGATTTGCCAATGGAATGAGTATTTTTACTCTTAAAATAAGATAATTAGATAAAATGCACTTGAAACAAGAAAATGCAAATGTGTTTACTTATTTTAAGTGTAAATTGTCTTGTTCCATTTGCAAAACCTCCCTTTTACCTTCTCAATTCAAGAACAAATGCACTTATTTTAAGAAAAAATGACTTATCTAGATTTAGATTTTTTCCAGTGCACACACTGCAAAAACAATCCAGAAATAAGTAAAAAATGGCTTAAATTAAGTATATTTAGCCTTAATTTGAGCAGGTAAATAAGATGATTTGCCAATGGAATGAGTATTTTCACTCTTAAAATAAGATAGTTAGATAATATTTACTTGAAATAAGACGATAAAATAGTTTTTTCTTATTTTAAAAGGAAATTGTCTTGTTCCATTGGCAAAGTGTCTTACTTACCTCCTCAAAATAAGGAAAAACGCACTTATTTTAAGAAAAAATAACTTATTGAGATTTCTATTTTTTGCAGTGCAGTTTTGTCCTTAGTTGAAAACCTTATCTGTGGTGGTGGCCTCAAAGCAGCATGTGTTGAAAAGCTTTAATGGTTGTGATATGAGTGATGGGGAAGCTGGATCAGCCCTCCTTCAATTCAATTCAGTTTATTTCTATAGCACCAATTCACAACACGTGTCATCTCAAGGCTCTTTACAGTTCACCAGATCATACAGTCAAAGGATCATGGGTATTTTTAATGCAAAACCAAAAAAAGAACTGAAAAAGGAGAAAAGTTTTATATCAAAATGTCCTAAATTTCACAAATGCTTTAATCTGGATCTATGAATGTGATAAAAGTTCTGTGGAAACCAGAAGCATTTGAATTTGAATTTTAGGTCTTTTTGAAGTGATAGTTACGATCATATTATGGGACAATAGAAAGAAAAAATGTAGGAGTACTAAATCGACATTGGGGACCGGTTATTACTAAACATATCGTTATTATAGATGGACAAATCGATTCAATTCAGTTTATTTCTATAGCGCCAATTTACAACACGCGTCATCTCAAGACACTTTACAGTTCATCAGATCATCCAGTCAGATTGATTCAAAGTTTTCTATCTAAGGAAAACCAGTTGATTGCATCGACTCATTGACTTGAATACAATCCCTCACACTAAGCATGCTTGTAGCGACAGTGGGGAGGAAAAACTCCCTTTTAACAGGAGGAAAAAAAAGAATGCATAGATTGTTTTTTAACAGATGTGTTTCTAAATATCTTCTTTCTGGAGTTTTCTAGCTTTTTTGAAAACAACCAACAGTAAAAAGTCCTTGTTTTTAGACTTTTTTTAAAATAAATGTTTTACGGTACACTAAAACCACTTTTACAAGCCTCACAAGTAACCTGGGAATCTTGGTAAATGCCTAGAGTGGTACCAGGAACCTGGCAGGAAGTGGCTCGGGTTACATTACCAAACCATTAAACATGCCATTATTTTACTGGCAAATGAAAACAACTTAAATAAAGCAATCACTCGAACACAATACAATAAATGGATATTAATGTGATACTACTAATACATCCTTGGCATCAAATGACACACGGCCAGTGAGTAACAAACAAAGGACATGTACTGTAGTTGATTGACAGACTCCTGGTTCGTAATTCTTCTTCTGACTTAATTTTACTGTAGAATTCTTGTTTTGGCTCTACTTTTAATTTTTTTTCCATCACTGCCAGCTGACAATTTTAATGCTAATTAATATCCTTTTCTTACTGGTTAATGGAATGCATATCTTTTTGGTGAGCTGGTTTGACCTAATTTCCTTTGCTGAGGGAGGTTACATGACCCTAGGGTCCACTTTCCCTGCTCTAATAAATAGATTCTGATATGGCATTAATGTAATAAGCAGGTTAATTATTCACTGTTTTCCGTGCCTCTTTCTTTTCTCTTTCCTACTTTGTCTCTTTCTTGGCTTCTCAGGAGAGAAACCCTACCGATGCCCTCATTGTGACTACGCTGGCACCCAGTCTGCCAGTCTGAAGTACCACCTCGAGCGCCACCACCGCGAACGTCAGAATGGCTCCAACACATCCGGCTCGTCCTCTGGTCACAACGCATCTTCTGACCATAAAGAAGACTCTTTAAAACCCGGCGGCAGCATCTTCGCCCGACCAGATGTGCTCCGCAACGTTTTCAAAAGCATGCCCGCCAACCTGGACTTCAGAGCTGGTCCCCTGATGCCGCATCAGTGGACATCAGCCGGCATATTACCTCCTCATGACCGAGATCGCGGGGATCGGCGTTTCGATTCGGTGCCTTCAGCTGAGAACCTGAAGACAGCGGACGGCCAGTCAGCCATGGTTTCAGCGACTGATAGCGCTGCTAGCTTCTCCGATCTAAGCAGGGCTTACCAAAGTATGATAGGCAACGGGGTCCACTTTCAAGGTTCTCTCCAAGCTTTCATGGACAATTTTGTCCTGGGATCCATGAAGAAAGATGTTACTGACAACCAGAGCCCTGTCCAACTCCCAGCCCAGCGTTACCATGATAACGGTGAGCCCAAAGCCAAACGAGGAATCTCGGGTGAACAGGAGAAAGATGACAAACCTGAAACCAAGAAACATTCAGAGCCAGGAAAGCCCGGGTCCCAGTATGAACCGCTCGATCTGTCTGTATCCGTACGGCCTGAGTCCGGACCCGGATCTCTGCCCGGTTCCTCGGTCACTGTTCATGATAACGTGGCTTGGCACGGCTGCCTCTTCTGCTCCTTTTCTACTTCCTCTTTGGAGCTCATGGCTCTACACCTCCAGGCTAACCATCTGGGTAAAGCTCAAATGCAGCGGTCCGATCCGGGCAAGGAGATTCAGCAGGACGCTGTTCCCACCAACTCCGCTGTTCATGCTTCCAATCTCAAGACTTCTGCTTTGGGTTTGGACAGAGAAGGAGACAGAGAAGGCGAGAAAATCCAGGGAGTTTGGACCAACCACATCGACCAACCTTATAACCCCTTCCAGAGTGATTTCTTCAGGAGGTTTGGTGGCCTGTATGATGGATCTCCAAGGGTCAACCCGGGACTCCAAGGTTATATAACAGAGCAGGGGCTGGAACTGCATAATCAGGTCATGGGAGGAACGCCGTCAGCGGTGGACGACCACATTGGCGAGAGGGGTTCCTGTGAAGACGCAGAGTATGACCGCGCCGGCTCGGACGAAGACATGGTAAAAGCTGGAGAGCACAGCACATGTGAGACCCCTTCAACCACCCCTAAGAGACCACAGCTACAAAATAACTCTGAGGAAGAGGAGGAGGAGGGTGGAGTTGCTGAAGAAGAGGAGGAAGGAGATGAAGATGAACGAATGGACTTGGAAAGAGAGGAAGGAGGCAGCCCAGCTTCAGACCACAGCCAGAATCACGCTAAACAACTTCAAGACGAGCCGTGTCTAACTCTAAGGAGCAGTGTTGGTTTACCAGCATCCTCCGCCACCATGAAGCCTCTCTCCGTGGTTCCCCAGAACCAGAACTTGGCCCTGGACAAGCAGTGGCAGCAGGGCCTGGGCCTCCTGTCTCCTGAAGGTGCATCGGGACTCTTGAAGGCCGAGCAGCAGACCCACCTAGAGCAGCAAATGACCATGCTGTCCGTTCTCAGAGCCTACACCAATGATACCGCCCCGACGTTCAACGGCCTGGGGGGTGGCAGCGGCGGAGCAATCACAGGTGGCACGAAGAGGTCGGATGGGAGCGGTGAGTATGTGACACCTGCTTGAGCAGCTTAGCCGGGAAGCACACGCAGCTTTACAGAAAGCAGCACAAAGCAATATCCTATACATGCAAAAAACATCATTTATAAGAAAGATTAAATTGCTCACATCAAAACCCAAAGCACAATAACCTTTGCTTTTTGCTTGACACCCACAAAGGATTCCCAAACACTCACTAAATATCTCCAGATTGGCTCTGAAGTGATTTTATCCTTATTTCAGGCAGGTTTAGAAGCCATCAGCCTGGCGACTAGCAACAGATTAATCTTTATTACACGTTTATATTACTGGGAGTGCAGTTCCTCCCTTCTGCTCCTCAGCATGGGGGGAATAACCCTGGATGAGTCAGAGCAGGACCTCAGCTCCCTCTACCATCTCCTCCACATGTCTCTTAACCATCTTAGGCCTCATAAAGCTGGCTCCCATAAGCCCATTACTTTATAAGATTCGTCGATCTATGACCCCGTGAAAAATGAACTGTCATCCTTCATGATTCTGCTAAGGTTATAGCTGATCCTTGAGACTAAAAAAAAAAAAAACTCCACCTCCTTTATTTTTTTACAGTGGTTCTCTAGTGTCCCTATAAAGGAAGTAAAAAACATGCTGGTGGCGAGCTGTGAAAGAACTGACCGTGTAATGGGTACTTAGAGTGAAAATCAGGCAGCAGGAAAAAAAGAAATCCTCATTGATTTCATTGATTTGAGTTAAATCATGGGTATTTTTAATGTAAAACCAAAAAAAGAACTGAAAAAGGAGAAAAGTTTTATATCAAAATGTCCTAAATTTCACATTTTACTTTAATCTGGATCTATGAATGTGATAAAAGTCGCTTCTTTGGCAAAGAAAAGCATTTGAATTTGATTTTTAGGTCTTTTTGAAGTGATAGTTATGATCATATTATGGCACAGGACAAAGAAAAAATTTAGGATTACTAAAGCGACAGTGGGGGCCGCTTATTAGTAAACATATTGTTATTATAGATGGACAAATCAATTCAGTTTATTTCTATAGCACCAATTCACAACACATGTCATCTCAAGGCACTTTACAGTTCACCAGATCATCCAGTCAAATTGATTCAAAGTTTTCTATCCAAGGAAAACCAGTTGATTGCATCGATTCTTTGACTCAAAGGCAATCCCTCCCACTAAGCATGCTTGTAGCGATAGTAGAGAGGAAAAACTCCCTTTTACCAGGAAGAAACCTCCATCAGAACCAGGCTGGTGTGAGGGGCCATCTGCTGAGGCCGACTGGGGTTCAAGGAGACAGAAGCAGAGATACAAAAAGAAGTAGAGATAAATCACAGCGATCTTTGCGCAGCTTTCATGAAAATAAAGCTGATTTTTTAAAGATTATTTTACTGATTGGATAAAATTTAGGTTATAATAATCAGAAATAACTTTTACAATTTTATTTCCAACAAATTCAAACAGGAAGCAGAGGTCTAATGAACAAAATAAGGAACAAAATTCACCAGAAAGTCAGACGTTTGCTTCAGGATTTTCAGCTTATGCTTTGGAGCTCAGCTGGTTTCAGTGTGTTTTGCAAAAACGGGACATTTTTTCATGTCAGTTGCATGTTACTTTTTATTAATTTTAATAAGAAGTGCAAAGGTGTCCAAAGTACACACATTTGTTACTTAAGTAGAAGTATAGATGCTGCTGTTTAAAAACACTCTGGTAAAAGTTGAAGCATCAACTTGACCTCTTTAATCACGTAAAAGTGAAAAAGTATGTGCTCCAAAAACTACTTAAGGTATAAAAGTATAAAGTAACCTTTAAAAAAAAACAGCCAGATTCCACTATATGAATTAAAAGCAACATTTTTGGACTATTTTGAAAAAATTATTTCAAATACTGTAGGGCCAAGGATGAGGGAGGTCTTGTTGGTCTCTGTCTCCCTTTTCGGACATTTTCTGAATCCTTCATTGTAGCATGGCATAGACAATTGACATTTACAGTTTGAAGAACACCTGCTTGCTTCTGATGATTTCCTTTAGCTAACCAATGAGTGTTTGCGTTATATGACTCATCAATTACACCAGTTTTCACTAGATGTGGATGGCACCAATGATCTGCATTCGATGGAGCACATGACGGGAAATGAATATTTAGAAACATTGAACCAAATCCAAGAGTAACGATTGTTTTAAAAATATAAGGAGTAGAAAGTACAGATAAAATGTAATGAGTAGAAGTCAGAAGTAGGAGGAACAATAAGTAATGGAGTAAAGTATAGATAGCTAAAAAGTGTACTTAAGTACAGTAAGGAAGTATTTGTACTTCGTTACTTGACACCTCTGGAGAAGTGATAACCAGAAAAGTTTTTTTTCTGAACTTTGCTGAAGTTATTTTAGTGGATGTAAAGCAGCCCTAGTTGCCCCACATTTGTTTGTTTGGGTCCGATCGCACTAATGACGCATATTGTTGGTTCAAACTTTTAAATATACATTTTTACGGCTGTCAGTGGGCGCTATCCTCATGCCTGCTCCTCCTGTTCATACGCTGCTGCTATGTGGCTGCAAGGGAAATAATAGGCACACTTGTCTCAGTAAAATGCACTATTACAGTCTTTCTTTATGTGTCCACTTGTAAACCTCTTGTGTTGGGGGGTGATGGGGGGGGCACCCACCCGCGGCTTGAACAAGAAGAGACACACATTCCGCTGTTGCATGGTGGGTGGAAAAAGAAAAAAAGGTGGGGGCGGGCGCAGACGTCTGTAAAACTCAATTCAGACCTGGCAAAATGTGATTATCTTGAGTGGGTTTGCATTAGGTTTGTATGCAAATATGGCATAAATCATTAATATCGAAATTCTCCCCTGAATCTGCGGGAACTGTTGTAGGGCACGCCTTGCACGTCTGGAGTGACCGCTTCTTCATTAGTATGCCCAAAGGAGGTGAAGAGGGGCCACGATACGCGGCCGGTCTACTCACTGAAAGATGTGAGGATTTAGGTCGTTTTAAACCACGCCTCAACAATCGGCCCTGGAAATGCGGTTTATCAATAGCGCCATCAGTGGCCCTGAGGTTTCTGTGATCAGAGCGGGTGTCTGGTTACTGAAGACTGACACACACCCACACCGTAGGTGTGCTTAACACAATCAATACTTGGCTGCAGTGCAGACCTATCTATAGCCGTGCATTATCAAACATGAAGTATTACATTATTCAAAGAGCGCTGAACACGCCACGTCTGCCGGCGAACATTGCTCCTCACGTTGTATTACTCACGTTACCTCAACCCCCTTGTTCACTTAATGTAATAAATGTGGCGGACTTTGGCAGGTTGAGACTGACAAGCTGGAGAGCATGTGTGGAGGATTGGAAAGGAGAAAATGGCAGAACTCGTAGCTGAGCACCTCTTAGACTTAGAGGAGGAGGCAAAGGAAGGCAGTGAGGGAAACGCTGGATGTATTCAATTAGACCCAACACTCCTGGTTCACAAGTACTCTCACTATAGTTCTCCTCGTGATTGCTTTTTTTTTGTTTGTGTTGGTGAAAAAAACCTTTTCCCGCTCCACAGTTTTATGTATATCGATTAAAAGGTGGATAAATAAATAGATTTTTTTTCTCTAATAACCTTTATCAATGGTTCTTAGCTCTCATCCGGTGTTACGGTGTTCTCTCAGGTGAGCATACCCCATCAGACCAGCATACCTATAGTCAATACACATGCATAAGACGTCAGATTTGCGTTTATCCCTTTAGTTTTCTATGAAAAATAGACTTTAAACCACCTCGACATACAATTCAACCAGATCATCCAGTCAGATTGATTCAAAGTTTTCCATCTAAGGAAAACCAGCTGATTGCATCGACTCATTGACTGGAAGGCAATCCCTCATACAAGTTGCAAATATTTGGAAGTGTGAATGAGCAGGCAAAACAGATCGGATTTCACAAAAAAATCTGAATTGAGCATCAAGGTCTAAAGTGTGACGTGGCCTTAGTTGATTTGTTGACTGTTGCGATTGTGTTTTTGTCTCGTTACGTTGTCCTACCCCTTAAACTTTTCCCTCTATGTCAGAGGTCACGGATTAGCAGACCGCGGTCCAGATGGTGCTGGCTAATCCGGACCCAACCTGATTTAAAATATTTAAAAATTACCTCATGTTGTCCGACAACAGTCTATAAATTCACTTGCACCGCTTCTCCTGTTAATACGGTAATGCTCTATGAAGTGTCCGGCACCAGGCTGCACGTGATCCAAATTATCCAATGAGCTGCTGTCAGTCTGGGTTGCTGCTGCTGCTACTTTTAGACACAGCAGGCAAACCTGTGGCAAGCCGGGCGATGGGAAAGAAGGAGAAGATGATGAGAAAAAGAGAGCAGAGAAAGTGTGGACTGCTGGAAGAACTGTGGTGAACTGGTGAAAGAAAAGTGAAATGGTGCTCAAAGATGACCCAGAACATTTAGAGGATGTTTGGCTCAACCTGCTGCTGTAAAGCAGGATTCTCCACCATGAACAGAATCAAAAATAAATAAGGATCCAGGCTCAGAATGAGCTCCTTGATATGTGCTTTAGAATGGCTTAGTCTCCATTCAAACCAGGTTTAAAGCCTTGCAGGGCAGCATAAAGCCCACTGCCAACATTAAGACAGACAAAATGGTCAGTTCAGGTTAAAATAAGACAATGCAATTGTCAGGAAATTGTCTATATACCAAACTTAAAGTTTTTGTTCTCTACTCCAAAAACAATTTTGATTTTAAAATGGAAAAAAGTTCTATTTTTTATTTATTTTTTTATTTAAAAATTCAATGTATAACATGGATGCATAAAAACCTCATTTTATTTCAGTGTTGAATTCTGTGTAAAGTCACAGATTATAGTTAAAAATGTCTCTGGATCTTTACTGGTTGATGATTTTCTTTATTCAGACCCTGCTCATTTTTAATCGGTTCCTCCTGCTCTATGCTGTTGCAATGGAATACACTGCAAAAAATTCAAAATTCTAAATAAGTCATTTTTTCTTAAAATAAGT